AATTGCGGGTAGATGTTATTGGCAGACATATAGGTCTACCCTCTGACATCGTCTTTTACTACGCTCGATACTGTGAGTATTGTGTGTCGGGAAAAGGTGCGAGTGAATAGTGAGAATGTGACCAATGGTAGGGGTATCGAGCGCAGTAAAAGACTACGTCAGACGGTAGACCGATATGTCTGCCAATAACATCTACCCGCAATTACTTCAGCTGCTCCGTGATCATGGCGCTTGCAATAGTGTAGATATATCGGAGACTCATAAAAAACAAGGGACATGGTAACAATCCCTTTAATAGCTATAATGTTAGTGACCATGAAAGTTTAAAACAATATATCATCATCATTATCATCAGCCTATTAATGTCGCCACTGCTGGAGCACAAGCCTTCCCTATAGATGGAATAGGGCGATTGGGCCATGACTTACCACGCGGGCTCAGTGCGGATAGGCGGGTGCTAACGACTGCAGATGCAGCCGGGACCAACGGCTAAACGTGCCTTCCGAAGCACGGAGGAACTTGAGATTGAAGATTTTTGGTCACCCATCCAATGACAGACCACTGCGAAAGTTGCTTAACTTTAACGATCGCAGTCGAACGCGCTAACCACCCGCAGCATCGAGCTCCTCTCATCCTCCTCTCATTTTAAACATTAAAGCTTAATGTGTTAATATCAGAGGGGCTAACTAACTAATTATATCCCAAAAGCAATTGGTCCTCATTGGATTAAACTCGAAAATTAAGGTCGTGTGTACATAAACGGAAATTAAACATGGCAATACCATCCTTTAAATCCTAAGCTGGCCTCACGTGAAATTGGTATACAAGCACCTGCGATGGCAAAAGGTCAGACAGTTTGTTTTTATTTGCTATAGCATGGCTAAATCGGACGACTACGTTAACGATTTAAAGAACGAAATTGAAATGGCGAGAGACGTAGCAAAAAGGTACTTATTTATATAGTAACTAGCGGCCCGCCCTCGCTTCGCTTCGGTGTAGAGCTGAAGTGTAGACTACAGTTTTTGTTCGCAGGCTTGTATTATACACAATGACATTCATCGATGATTCTTCTTATACCTGCATGCAAAGTCTCAGCCCGATCCGTCCAGTGGTTTGGGCTGTGCGTTGATAGATCACTATGTCAGTCAGTCAGTCACCTTTGAGTTTTATTTATATAGATAGATATGAGTGATGCGTGTGCTGCTCCATTTCCCTTATATGTGTATATACCTTATGCACCGTCTAATATTAGGTTAAGAAACGAAATTTCACTTCAGATGTGTGGTCCGTGCACACCATTTTATTTATTTCAAATCGGAGCAGTAGTTAGTTCCTAAGATTCAAACCGCGTTCAAACAAACAAACTCTTGAACTTTATAAAATTCAAGATAAAGTATAGATTTATATATATATCTAATATATAATATTCTCGTGTCGCGGTGTTTGTGATTAAACTGCTCCGAAATGGCTTTCCCGATTCTCATGAAATTTTGTGTGCATATTGGGTAGGTCTAAGAATCTATTTTTCATCCCCCTATATGTTAAGGGTAATTCACCCCTAAATTTTTTTTTCAATTTCAAATACTTAATATTTTTTATTATTTTTTTTATGATACATCATACAAAAATACATACATCCCTAAATTTTTCAACTTTCTACCACCAACACCCATTTTTTATGGCTGTACGAAGTTTGCTGGGTCAGCTAGTATATATATATATATATATATATATATGTGCGTATATATACCAAAAAATCAACCCTGTTTTGTTTTATGGAAGCCGGAATGAAGACCAAACCGCAAGCGCGGACCCGTGAACATGTGGCGGGGTTGTATTTGGTCAGAGTCACTGCAAAAGGTTTTGCGGGTGATACAATTTTAATTAAGAAACGTAGAAATGTGTATTGTATATCTCGTAAAAGTATAAATACTGTTACTTAAAATCTATTCTCTTTTTCAACTTTTTAATTATTTTGATTTTGGAATCGCGTTATTTTAAAAACGTCTTTCGATTTTGCGCCATTTCACATATTGTTTCGTGTTCAGTTTAAAACACAATATAGTTCTGCTTGGATAGAAAAATTGGGAAAATCTATAGTTCTCCCCCTCCCTGTTCTCATTTAGGGATGAAAATACTTCAATTTTCCTTTTTACTAGCATCAGACAAAAGCATAATAAGCAAGAAATCAAATAAGCCTTGGCCAGCGTTGTAAGGATGCCCTACGGACATCATAATTAAAGTAGCCCTACATCAACTCACTAACAAGGCGAGGTAAACAATATTATTTTGTTCACGAAAAAAAAAAAGAAAATTCTTACGGTTTCTCCGAAATAGAACAGTAGGTACCTACTCACACTGTTATTTTGTTTTTATCGGTAAAATGTTTTGTTTTCTTTGAAAAAAAAGTATTTATTAATCTGGAACAACGGAACCAAAGCGCGATTCAGGAGACTACAGCGCCATCTCTTGACCATTGTTGTAGTAGAACCAAAAACCACATCTTTATTTTTTGTAATAAAATTTTTTTGGAAAATAAAATATTACAAAAAATGGTTGCCTGTAAAGTCGGTTTTACGGGCGAAGATTTTACGTGACAACGTCTTTTTCTCGGTAGAATATTTATTGATATGAATATAATTAAATTGCACAATAGGAACAAGGAATTGAATGAAAATAAGAATTGCACAAATTTTAACTATAGAAATATATTTTGTTTACTAAAACATTGTACATGTAAACTTAAACTTAACACGAGAGACTCATCGTAACGTTACCGAGCGTTACACTTTTTCATAAGTGACTCCCAGCCGCAACCTAATTTAAGACGTTGTCACGTCAATATGTTATACAGCAGATTTGCTAAAACCGATCTCGTTTTTGGGGTTCCGAAGTCAACAAAGGATCGAGGTTTTGCCATGCCCGTCAGTCCATAACGCTCCAATCAAATCAGAAATCAGAAATCCACTCGTTATTGGACATATTTTTTAGCTGCGGAGAAAAACGAGCGAAAAAAACTCCACAACATTAAAAGCATAATGTAACAACATTTACAAATCATTATGTTGTTACAACGTCAATACAATCATGATTTATTTAATATATAGAAAACCTGTTGGAATGATTGGAACAGTTCAAACCCAAGCATTTTTGTCTGTATGGTCTGTACCCCAAGCAAGAACTCTGACAGCTCCGATTTCGTACCACCAACGTCGTAAGTTTCTATGGACACCATGCAGCGTCCCTACCAGACGTAAGAACTAACGGATTCTTCCACAGAAGCATTAACATGACAATACCAATAGTTTTTCGTGTTTAGGGCAAAAATAATAATTTCTAATATGTTTAATATACGGTAACTGGGCTTTATTATTATACTCTTAATTGCACAAAAAAAATGTATGATACAAAACATAAATATGTGAGCAAAGGAGGGCTTATCTCTAAGGGAGATCTCTTCCAGCCAACCAAGGTTTTGTGAGAAAAAAAAGTAAGCGGGTGTAGACATGTACACTAAGTACTTACTTGTAGATTTATACCTATCTGAGACTACATACATAAATATATATTCATAAGATTATACACAAATACTTACAATAAATACATACATACATATATACATACATCTTTATATATATAATTCTTCTGTGAGTGTGTATGTCACTGAACTTCTCTTAAACGACTGGACCGATTTTGATGAAATTTTTTGTGTGTGTTCAAGGGGATCTGAGAATGGTTTAGATTCACAATTTTGTCCGCTGGACAACCCCTATTTTTTTAGGGCGGTACGAAGTTCGCTGGGTCAGCTAGTACACTATAAAATAATAAAAACACATTACATAAAATTATGTTAAGATAAAACAAAGAGTGTAATAAAGAGACAACTAAGAGTAAAGAGAGAACTTTATGCTAGGTTCGACACTGTAAGCTTGAGACGTGGTTCCTACATTTTAATTTATTTGTTCTCATCGCTCGCCACGTCCCTTTAAGCAGTTGCTCATAGCTATAAGGTTGTGGACTAGCCGTTAAGCTGCCTGTCCACTGGAGCGGAGCGAGGCTGTGGCGCGGAGTAACGGAGAAATATTAACCAATAGGATTACACAAAATCTCCGCTCCCCTTCAGTGAATAAGGAGTTACGAACTTGTTTAAAAATTCATAAATAACTGTGAAGCAGAAAGGGGAAACGGAGGGGGAAGCAGAGAAGAAAAGCAGAGAGGGGAAGCGGAGCGGGAACTCGAAATAACTAATCACATGCTCGTGAGATATCTCTGCATACTGAAAAATACAGTCTGCATCTCCACTCATTCGCCTTTCAGTGTATCTGTGATAGTACACAATCTTAACAGTGCTTACTTTATGACTAGGTTTCTAAGTGTTGGACATATTTTGGACATATTTATTTGTTTCTTAGATTTTCACGCACATCACTCATTAAATAAAACTAGATTTTACGGGTTAATGCATGCATATTTATTTATTTCCTAGCAGCCGCGACGCGACTTCAACCGCAATAAAGTAAGTTTTTGAGATTCTTTCTGAAACCTAAAATTGGTTCTGGGTAAAAAGTATCCTATAAAAAATATGGCACACATATAGTTTATTACCTGGATTGAGGTAATAAACTATATGTGTGCCATATTTTCATCTAAATCCGTTAAGTCGTTTAAACAAATAAACTCACTTTCGGTTTTATAAATAAAAGTTTTAGTATTATAGTAAGGGATTAGTATAGCCTTTAGTGTTAGGGCATTCTACCCAGTTCTACCCGGATCTAAGCACGGTTTTAAAGCGTATCTACGTCGGATCACTACTTAGGTATGGGACACTGTGAAGGTATGTTAGCGACAGTAGCTTTAGCGACTATTTGGGGTCGGTGCAAACAACAAACCGGTCGAGAACAAGCTTAGCCGGGTAGAAATCGTAACCCAGCGGAAACCGTTCGTTAATATTCCCTTTAGCATTAGTAGGATAGTAGAAAATAAAATTATCTTCTTCTCACCTTCTCCAGCGCCTGTGACGGTGTGTATGAGTAGCACCACGACGCACAAGCACCGATGCCGCTCCACCGCCATCGCTGCGGTACCGCACCTGCAACAATACGAGACCAAGCTTAACACTGAACTTGAGCTTTATCGTCTGCTGAAGTGGCAGTGGACTTGACACATAGCATGGCTATGACAGTGGTGGCCAACAAGGTTGAATATGGAGGAAATAATAAAGGAGAACGGTTGAGGCTATACCACTCCGTTACACTGGGCAAAACTCCTAGTCTATGGATGGAAAAGAAAGTCTGTGATATCACAACGGACATTCCAGTGCTAGTTGGTGAGTGCTAATGACAGAACATCTAGCCAAGACCGAAGACTAAACGTGCTTATTAAGAACGAGTTTTAAATTTTTAACACACTAAAAACCTCAGTCGTGACATGGTCGTGATCGTGGAACTAATCCACTGAATTGGTTGGATATTAACATATTAAAGGAAGCAATAGTAATGATTAAAGATTTTTTTCGATTGGACGATAAACAAAACACAGCTACAAAGTTTACTCGGGATAATCTCTTAAGTTATGAAATATTCAATTTGATACTTTTTGAAGTACATCGTACATCTTAAGAAATTTTCGTGACAAGTGTAAGATAAGTTGAGCTAGATTTTATCATCATATCGTCGAGACGAGAACCACTCTGATGTGTTGGTAATATATGGGTTGGGTAAAAACCATGGTAAGAACATATATTGAGATAATCTTGGGTTCCCATCATGTATTTTAGGTATAATATCATCGCCTGTTACAGTAAAATTTTAAAAGATGTTAGTAATTGAAGTATCTGATTTAAGTTTTCGTTGAAATTATTTATGTTTGTAACAAATGGAGTTTTATTTAATGCGACAATAACTACATTTTTGTTAATTTGTTCCATCAAACAACTACAACCTCTAAAAGCTGGTTTTTCGAGGGTGACTTGCTAGGAGTCTCTAACAGAAAAAACTACTCTATCATTTTGGTTGTGATTATTTTACTATACCAAGTTTTTTTAAAAGATATTAAGTTACTTTCTGATTCTTTGTCTTTTTCAGGCACATTTCGTATTTTTGCAACTGTGTCTGCAACCCTATCATAAAAGCTCGGTTTTCGCGGTTTCTCAATCTCCAATCTAGCGATTCCTCCTTTGAATTCTTCATGTTGGGCGTTCATGAATGAAATAGAGTTTTCGATATTAGAATTTGACTTTTGAATTTCGGCATATTGGAACATCAGGGACACTATATCCGATACAAGTTTAGACAGAGTTTCATCAGATCGAATCAACACTGTTAATTATATGTTTCCACAACCTTATTAGCAGCGGATGAGTCCGATTCCGGTTGAGAGTATGTCCTAGAAGGAGACGCAGGTGGTGTGCGTTATACTTTATCATATTGTTGCTAGCACAGCGGTCGTTAATTGTGAGATGATTGATGGGACTTACCGGTGCCGTAGGTGCTGAATACTATGTACTCGCGATCAAAGGAGTAGCTTTAGAGTCTCAGTGGTATTCACAGAGTGGAGACAAGAATTAATAATGCTAACCATGCATACAATTGCAGTGCCTAGTCACGGGCTCAAATACAGCACTGGTTACAGTTATCAGATTTTTACCCCAAAACAGTAGTAGGCAACAAAAATCTAGCTGTCCATTGAATGTGACAGACAACAATATGATTTCTGGCGGGTATACATATGACAAGCTATCACAGGTCCGCACCATTGCCAAAAGGAGGGTATAAAAACAGGCAATTATCTTGGATTGATTCCTCAGCCGGTCTACTCGCTAACTTTTTTGACATTTCATCATCATCAGCCTATTTATTTCCCCACTGCTGCGTCATAGGCCTTCCTTATGGATGGAATAGGGAGATTTTGACATTTACAGTGTGTCAATAAAGAGAAAATTGTATATACTTCGATGCTTGTAAGAACAACTATCTATCTTCGTGTGATTATCAATTCCATCTTCAAAAAGCAGTTACCGAATTCGCCTACTGGTTCTAGCTATGGAACAATCTTAGTAACACTGTTGCACTGATAAATCCCATGTCGAACTTTACTTTGCAATGAATTCTGTTACAAAACAGTAAAGGCTTTCAAAATGTTTTGAGTTAGTTTTGTGGAGCGATGTACGCTTGGTTAGGGCAGAGTTGCCAGTCCAATAGATTAATACTAAAGACTATCGAAAACTATCTAAGTAAAAGTTCATGGTTATGTTCTTATTTGATTTCCCTTGTAAGTAAGACGATACTATTACCTAAATAAACTTTCGAACCTAAGCAATTAAACAGTTTGACCCAAATGAAATAATAGATTTAAAGGCTTAATTTTTCACGACTGTAAACATTCCGGTTCCAAATTAATATTGGCTCTTATTAAAATCTCTTGGGATACGACAAAACCACCAACTAAACTGTTAATGCCGTTAAATTAATTATTCACAAATTGTAACAGATTTCTATTCGCTGTCTCGAATTTCCCGAAGGAAATTCGGGTACTTTGTCTTGTTGGTTTAGGTTGTGCAATTTAATATTGAGAACTTGTAAATATTTAACTACCCATCAGGGAAACAAAGCAGGACAGTGATAGAAAGCAAATAATGAGAATGTTTTCTCACGAAAGGACTGAAGAAAGGGTCAAAGTGAGAACACCTAAAGTTTTTTCACTGACATTTGAATGAGAAATAAATAAAAAGAATAAGGCTTCAGATAATGGTTTTGCAGTTTGAAAAGATAAGTTTAATGTCTTATGTTAATGGTTAATAAAAGCGGATGGTCTACATGGTGGTGTGTCTGACATTTAACTTTGAAACTATAACAAGTGAAGTATAATGAACCAAATATAAAATCTCTTAAAAAACTAATTGTTTTGAATGAGATCTGTACATTGAACAATCCCTATAATGTTCGCAAAGTAAATTTTGCGTCTTGGGAATTAGAACAGTTATTATTGAAACTTATGAGTTTACGCAAATGTACGTATTCTATGTGGCATCATTAAAATGTATGTTATTCTAGCTGGCACAATGATTGTAGATGTTTGGAAACAAATACAGAAAGCTTTGAATTTGCATTGTAAACACTCAGTTGTTAATGTATATAACGAATACATTTCATGCAAAAACGAGCATAAAATTTTGATGAAATTCGTGATATCAGTGGTACATAAGTTGTCAAGGTGTCGCCTATTCACATTTTGGTTGAACAAATGTTTATATAGTGGACAGGAACTTTTAAACCTAAGTCATGTTTTGAATGTATTTCTTAATTAATATACATTTAAGTACATCTTCTAATGGTTTAAAATCTAAAGACAAGAGACTCTTTAAAAGATTTTTTTAAAGAACACAATTTAATGGCAGTTTCATCTCAGTACATTTATGAAAATTTAATGGTTGTTTGAGAAAATAGTAAAATTGTTTCCTGTAAATAGTGATAAAATCTTCATTAATACTAGAAATAAAAATATATTATCTGTACTAATTACAAGGCTCCACAAAATCAATAATTCATATGATTCATAAGGTCTTTTTGCAGGTTTTTTTCAATGAAGTCCCCATAAATTTAAAGCTACTATTAAAAATAATGAAAACTTAAGAAACACATATACCATTAAAAAATTCTTAAGTATAAATAAATCGTATAATAAAGAAATAAATTTGGTTTTTCTCAATATGTATCAGTACATGTATTCTATTTGTTACCCTAGTATCCCATAACACAAGCCTAACAGTTCTTGATATGGCCTAAACTAATTTATGTGAATGCTATAAATATTTATATATTTCAAGTGACACATATACATTAATAAAATTGATACCATGAAACAAAACAACTACAAGGTCAAGTGTATTTAATACTCCATATCCTGTTTCCTTGGCAACAATCCTGATATTGTAGTTCACCCTCGAACCTTTCGTTGAACTGGTTACGAGAGCCCAGCAATATTTAATTATAGTAAACGCTCCCTTTAGCACGTTAAACACTGTTTTATTAACTCGATAAAGTTAGACATTGGCAGCATTAATGTTCGGAACAAATAGAATAATAAAATTTAATATGCTCACTGAATCCCTTTCATAAAAACAAATTTTAGTATTGTACAATTACGACCACCTCATGTACTTAATGTGTAATGAGACGAAAGATGGAAATACAGAGCGATCACTACGCGTCTGCTTATGAATAAATATATAATATGGGGATCGAATCTCGACATCTCAAAAATTACAAATAAATCTTATCTCAGCTTTAGTTCATGCTAGGTCTAACCCAGCGCGATTTTGAGAAAATCTCTTTCCAAAAAAGAAAACTTATTTGCCAGAGCAAAATATGGGTTAAGTCTAAAAAGTTTGCAACCACGAAGGTATTTGCTCACGTATTCCGTAGCTTCCCAAACGGGGATTGCTTTAAATTTGGTTTTGGCAACGAGATTCTAGCTACATTCAAACCAAATTACCTAGATGAGCTTTGGCAATCACCTGCATTATTCAAGAATGTCTGTATTAGCGTGGCACGTGTGTAACACAGAAGGTGCAGATACGATTTAATAAGGGAGGTACTCATGTGTTTCTCCTCTCATGGACAACCTTGGGCAGCGTTTCTTCAGATAGCAGGATCAGTTGGCACACAGTAAAAGAAACATGCTTCTCGCAATAATATTTTATTATTTATTTCAATCATTTTACTCATATATTTTTCAAACGTTTTAAAACCACTTATATACACTATCGTACGCGGCTTGACATACACAAGACAGTCTTCTTTTTAATTATTTGTCAACTTTATTTTAATTATAATAATATTCATAAAGCATAACTGTCAGCTGTTGTCTCAAGAAAGAAGGGTGGTAACGCTGCGGGCGTTATAGTAACTAGGATTGTATTTAATTATCTGTGGCGGTACCAAGATTAATAAGTATTGTTCTCAATTTACACTTACCAAAACGAAAAATATTTTGTTAAAGCCAAAGAAATGTTTGAAGCATCTTTATATTTCATGCTAACTACAACTGAATAAAGCAATAGGTGTATGATTAAATGCCCTGGTGCTCATT